TTTTGAGTATGACTGTAATAAAGTTATAGTCATAAATAAAGCAATCTTATCGTGCTGACAGCTATGTAGATTATATAGTATGCTTAAATATTTTGGAAACATTTTATCAGATAAACTAAATTTTTCCATCGTAAGAGATATAAACAGTTTAATATAAGTTTCATATAAAAATCATTTACTTAATTGTTACCTTAATATTAAAAAAAAAATATTAGAAATTTTATATTTTAACATATTAAAACAATTGTAGTGTCAATATAATAAGTAACACGAAGAATATTTTCACTTTAATTTATTAAATAATATTAATTAAGAGTTCTGCAATTATAAAATCTATTGATTATTTCTTGGAGGAAAAGTTATTAAAATAAAAATTTGTATATGTTTCTTGATATTATTTTCTGTTCACCCGATATATTATCTGAAGTGACTTCTTTGTGCGCAGTCTCTTGATCAGTGATACTCATTTTTATGTATTTTTAAAATGCAACATATATACACATATTCAATGACATATTTTTCAGTAATATTAACTTTTAATTATTGAGACTGTTACACAAATAAAGAATTTTATTTTCTCAAATCCTTTCATTTTTCTTTACATGTTAATTTTTTTATAATATATAAAATACAATAAAATAAAGAAAGGAAAGAAATATATAATTCACTGTATTCTTTAAAAGATTTTCTTCAATTTAATCATTTTTGTCACAGATGAAAACAATAATCTAATTAACTGCAAACATCAATCTAACTAAGTAACATGACTGTTTAATTCCGTACTCAATAATATAACTGTTACATATTATATAATTATTATATGTTATGATATACAGTTGTATTGTTGAGTAGGAAGTTATAACTAACAATAATGTTATTGTTAGTTAATGTTTGCTGGGAAATTTAAATTACGTACTATTTCTCAATTAAAAACTATTATTATTGTAATGCAATTATTGTATTGTAATAGTTAAGTGTTGACTCTATCATTCAATTCTCAATGATTGAGAACCTACAATGGTAACCTTGCTGTTGATATTACTCGTGCTGTTCCTATTCGTACAGTAGCAGTTGCTCCAGTATCATAGACTGGTGCTGTTAGAATCGCGTAGCTGAAAACGGATATATAGTGTCAAGAAGACATTAAGAATATATATTATACTTCTTGTTACGATATTGTAATATATATGACGTTATTACGTACGTATGACGTTATTATAACAAAATTATAATATTAATATTAGAGCAGCAATTATTATTGATAGTGGAATTTTTCTGATTGTGTTGGCGTAGAAATACAGCTGACATACAAATACTGCTTGTTACATACGCATGCGCAAATGAGAATTATACATTTTAAATCCAATTTTAAATTTACTTTTTTAAGATACATCGTACTTTTTCTTTTGCTCTTAGTTTTAAAATCTAATTAATATCTTATTAATACGCTATTATATGTTAAAAAATATCATGTTAAAAGTAAAAAAGATTTTCAAAATGTTTTATCAGATAATTAAGTCTTCTTTTATGTAAGCGATCTTAATTAGTTTCTTATCAGAAGTATTGTACTTGTGCTTAACTATCAACAGCGTACTTGTTTTCATTGGAGAGCGAAGGTATTATTATTAAATGAAATATGTGTGTGTGTGTGTGTGTGTGTGTGTGTGTGTGTGTGTGTGCGTGCGCGCGCGTGTGTATGTATATCATGTTTAAGATTAAATCAAACTGAAGAGTTTGAAATTATTTATTGCAATGAATTACGAATTATTTATTAC